ACCCGCGCCGTCACTGGCCTAAGGGATTTCTACTTGGTGTTCCCAGGTGCCCCACCCGCGGCTCCCAGGCTGTTTGCCTAATCCCGGGGCTGTGACCCTCCCTTTTGTCTTTGCTGTCTGCTTGCAGGGTGGGGAGATCAGTGTGGTTTTGTTTTGTTGTGGGTGTTTTGCGTTTTTGTGGGGCAGGGGTTGTTTTTTGTTTGTGGTTCGCTTTTGGTTTTGTTTTTGGTAGGGTCTACAACTCTTACTTATTGGCGCTTGAAATATTTTTAATGAATTTTCAAAGATTTTTATTTAGTTCGCTGTCTGTGTCTATACTGCTGTATGGTTCCTATTTCCTGCAGAAATAAAAAACATGCTTTGACCGAGGTTACAGAGATGCTGTATACATTGATTTTTCTAGTTGTCCACAGTACACCAATTAAAAGACAACTCTACTGTGCTTGTTGGTGATGTATGGAAAATCACACAATGAAAAGCCCATAAAGGAGACTGAGGAGTCCTGCAATTTTATTTGAATAAAGGGCGAGGATCCACTGGGACACACGCCCATGGCGTTTTGTTCTCTCGAGGTTTCAGAAGACGCAGCTTCCTTTTATCCCAAATTGCCGGTTGCATGTTGCCCTCTTCCTTTTCCCATTGGCTGAGGTACGAGGAAGGTAGAGCCTTCCCGAACCGCCTTACCACATATCCCGCTTGAAGCTGTCATTTTACCCCAAAGTTCAGAAGTTCAGGTTTGTCCTCCACTTGTGTGTTTCAGAAGTTGGGCTATCTGGGCTGGGTAGCAAACCTGCTTGAAGTTAGTAGAGACTTTAAGAGCCATTTCAAAGACATTAACACCCATACCCTCACCCATCGAATGGATTTGTAAAGACATTAGCATGCATCTCCCCTGTCAGTGACATCCCTTCAAGCAAAGCTGTTCAAGTTGTTTTCCCGACTCTTGAAATAACTCCAAGATCTGAGTGAAGAAGTCTACAACTGTATATTTGTTAGCTCAAGCTTTCTCACCTCCCTACCTCTTTCCCCTGTATGTGAAAAGCATATTAAATACTTCCCTGTATGTGAAAAGCATATTAAATACTTGATTTCTGCATTTTCCAGTATGCTGAGTCCCCCACAGTATCTCTTTCCGATAGGAGCTCAAAACAGCTGGAGTTGGATGCTACTGCTCCGTTATAAAGGAATTTTTTGTACTGCTCTATTCTGCTGGCAGTAAAGTTGGAGCTTCACGACCCTGCAGCAGGAAAAGGAGAAGGGACATGAACCGGGGTTCGGTAGCTGTGCTGTATCACACCAGAGATGTGCTGGGGTGTGCTCACAACGCAGCAGGCAAACCCCCTCTGTTCCAGAGCTGTCTCAGGGTCAGAAGGAGTGGGTGTGGAGTGCATTCACAACACAGGGCCTTCCACTGACCTCGGCTTGGGCACTGCTTCCTCTGCGTGCCGGAGAGCTAGCTGTTCTTACACACAGAACCAATGCCACCATCAAGCACTCACTGGTGCTTTAATAAAGGATGCATTTTTTAGAACAGCTTTACCCCTTCTCCAAAGCTCTTCCTAAGCACACCAGATGGAGGGCTGTATGATCCTTCCAGACAGCAGGATGGAGAAAACACTTGCCTGCAGGGTGGCACATGCTGCAAATGTTCTTTCCCCAATAAAAACCATACAGAAGCCACTGAATCTTGCACAGGGCAAGACTCTACACCATTAAGTAACAAATAGTTTTTGGGATCCAAGCAGCTGTTAAATGGTCTTCTGAGACCATATCCCATGCAGCAAATTCCTAATGCATCTTCGACTGACAAGGGAGGTGGAACAGAGAATTCACAGATCTTCTGCTTTGCAGCAGGTACAATGCCTGCAGCTGCAAGACTCAGCACACTGCTGTCTACAGCTTTCCACTTGCCTCCTGGACAGACTGCAGCTCACCTGCTGCACGCTGCTGGTAGTGGTTCGTTCAGCAGATACATGTCTTTGGGCTGCAGACCCTCCCTGGGCAGTCAATGCTGTTAAGAAAGCTACAATAAGAGAGAACAGTTACCTTACTATAAACAGGCAAGTTCCAGGGAAAGCAATGCATAATTAATGTAAGATTTTTCCTAAAAACTAACTTGGTTCCAAATGATTTTACTGCTGATTAATAAACTTGCTGATACAGGGAGAAAAAACTTGCTTAAAAAGCTTAAAAAGGGAGAGGGAGTTCCCATTGTACTACAAGATGCAGATAACTGTTGTAGATGAGTAATGCGATGGTTGACTCTCACAATTAAAGAGCAAATATGATGTATATGTTAAGAGGAGTTTTGTAGATGTATAGTTATGTTTCTCCCCCCTTGCATTGTTACCACAGAATGGCCTGGGTAGCCGGGACATTCGGGAGGGTCAGCTTGTTACTACATGTGAAAAATGCATATTATAGGATTGGGTCTTCGCAAATATTAAAAGGAATGCTATATGTGTTATGTTGGAAAGTTATGTTGTATTAATTTTGTAGTACTGTTAGTACTGTATTAATCCTTGTTAAGTAGTGTGTAAATATAGTTTTAGGCTATAACATATTAAAATAGAAACTATGTGATGTAGAATACTTTTTGTAACTAGCTCAAGGAATGGATAAGATAATCAAGAAATTCTTCACAGAGATAACAGCAACAAGACACCAAAATTTCAATAGAAGAATTATTGCCTCCCTATTGGGGAAAACCAGACTCCTTCTACCTCCTTCCAGAGGGTTTTGCGAGAGCTGCAAAAGACAGGTCTCAGAGATAACAGAACTATGATTAGAGCTAAGCAGTAGCCATAAGATTTGTCAGCAGAAAAATTATGTAAGAAGTAGAAAAGTAATTACAAACAGAACAATGGTCTGTGTATTAACACTTGTCTAGAATAACTCCCTAAGCTAGAGAAAAGTATATCTAGCCAGACGTTAGGAAGTTCTAAGCTTAATAATGGAGCTCTGTGCATTGTGTTTTAAGGCTTACAAGCAGGTATTGTATTCGAAAGAAGCAAGCATTGTTTTAACCAAAGGTACGTGTGCTTATAGTGATTGGATAGAACTACTGTCAATGTGCTTTTGCTTTGGGTGATTGGTCAAAAAACTTTTGAAGTAAGTTGAAGTAACAAAAAACCTTTGAAGTAATTGAAGTAACATTAAGTTCTTTGTCTGCTGCTGGGGATGTGAGCTGCTGGCATCTTCCCACTGTCATAACCATGTAATGAGACTGATGCGAGAAAATAAACAACTTGAGACACGTTCCTCAGGAGTTCTGTCACATTCATGATTTGTACACAGACCCCTGGCCAGCAATATGACCCTGATACAATGGCCAGACAGATTTTACTAAAGATAAATTTTGTCAGTCATGCTTGGCCAGATGTACGTAGGAAGTTAGAAAAGTTAGATGATTGGCAAGAAAGGAGATTAGAAGATCTTTTAAGAGAGACACAGGAAGTGTATATAAAGAGGGATGCAGAGAAGGCCAAGGCGAAAGCCAAGGTAATGATAACCACCATTAGGGAAGGACAACAGCACGTAAAGAACAATCCATGTAAGGGAGGGGCACCACAAATGTGAGAAAACAGATGGAGGGGGGATGCAGCTCCTTGGGACTGGACATAAAAAAGAGAGTTTGGGAGATGGGGGAACGTAGGACCAGTTTGCTTTTACTGTAAAGAGAATGGGCATATCAGAAAGAATTGCCCCCAGAGGGAAAAGGACCTGAGAGTCTGTGAGACTGAGCAAAAAGGAGAAGCAGAAGACTAGGGGTGTTAGGGGCTCTACCTCCTGGGGACAGAATACCATCAGGACCCTTGATAACTTCAAAAATGGGTCCCCAGGAGGAAGAATTGGAATTCTTGTAGACACAGGGCCTGAAAGAACTTATGTTTGTAGAATTCCAAAGAGGCGCAAAAAGGGTCAAGATATCATGCAAGTAATAGGTACAAAAGGGGAAGGGTTCAAAGTCTCATTTATAAAGCAAGTAAAGTTTGAAGGGACAAATAAAATAGGGATTGGGAATGTCCTATCAGTTCCAGAAGCCGGGTGCAGTTTATTAGGATGGGATTTACAGGTACAGTTGGACATTGGAGTACTCCCAGAGGAAGCAAAAATGGTAGTTAAGCTTCTTCAATTAAGGGAAGAAGATAAAAAAATTTATAAAATGGTATGGGCAAAACTGAAAAATTGAGATAAATTAAACATGAAATCTATGGTAATAAAAATAGTTCATGAAAACCATCCAGTTCAGGTAGGACAATATTCACTCTCCCTGGAAGGGAGACAAAGACTATGGCCTGTGATCCAGGGCCTACTTGAGGAGGAGACCTTAGAATCATGTATGTCCCCCCATAATACACCCATATTACCAGTAAAGAAGTCAAATGAGACTTATAGGCTTGTCCAAGATTTAAGAGAAGTGAATAAAAGAACAGTGAATTGATACCCAGTAGTGCCTAACGCCTGTACACTACTGACTTCACACCAGTGGGTTAGTGTGATAGACCTAAAAGATGCTTTTTGGGCTTGCCCACTAGCAGGATAGAGATATATT